CCACTCCTCACTGCAGCACCAAAATTAGTGGCACTGTGCTGTGGGACAAAGAGCATCACCCAGATGTTCATCTACCTGAAAAGATGATGAGGTGTTCCCTTCCTCATCTTTGGTGGCCTCTCTGTGGCCTCTATGCTTCTGCAAAAAAACCCCACTGTCAATTATTATAATGCCTCATTTTCTACATTATCCAGCAAAAATGTATTTAATTTAGCTCCCTCAGAGGAAAGTCTGCTTCACTCTTTTGCCTATATCATGATAAGGAAACTTTTATTAACTGACTTCAAAGCATAAAACAAGAGAAGAGCTGGCAAGAAATCCTGGCTTCCCTCCCAGCCCCAATATGAGTACTAGAAGGTAGCAGTGGGGAAAAACAAACAAACAAACAAACAAACAAACAAACAAACAAACAAACAAACCACTGCAAAACAAAATATAGAAAATAAAGTACAAGTTTACCATGCCAGCCCAAATAGGAGTTCTGGTTTTGCCCAGCTGTGACTCTGTTCTGAAAATGCCGTCAATGAACCCGCTGGTGACACAGACGGCGCTGAAAGCGATCTGGAGCATCCCCAGCACGACCATGTTCCTCTGGTTAAAGATGAAATATCGGTACCGATCCATCCCGCTCCGATTCCCACATAAACCCTCGGGCACGGAGACTGGCCAGGGTCGGGAGAATGGCTCTTCCTAGAGAACAGGAGAGAGAGAGAAGGGACAGGATGGTCAGGGAAGGGAAGGATGATCAGCACCCCGCGGGACCAGGAGCGCAGAGCTCACTCAGGCTCCGAAGGGAAGCGGAATTCCGGGAAATCCCTGCGGCCGCGGCGTGCCAGGTGACCGGGACACCATTCCCGGCGTTTGTGGAGCGGAATGCGCGATCCTTCTCCGCTCCGCACCTCTCCAGGAAGGAGCCGCCGCTCCCTTGGGGCAGCCAGCACCCATCCCGATATTCCCGCTGGTGCCGCCGCTCATGGCACGCCCTCGCCAGGGGCGGCTCCAGCTCCGTCTCCCGTGTGTTCCCGTGTCCTCCCTGCCGTGTTCCCTTGTTCCGCTCCGATCCCCCGGCCGGGAAGCGCCGCGCCCTCACCTGCAGCGGCACCGGCCCGGTCCGCACTGCCCGGGCAGCGCCGGGAGACCTCCCGCTCCTGCTCCGTGTCCCGGGAAAGGAGCTCCGAGCTGTGCCGAAAGAAGCCGCCGAGGCCAGGGCACCCTGTGCCGCGCCGGGACCCACGCAGGGACGCGGCTGCTCCGCCTCGCCTGCCGCCGGGAGCGGCCGCCCCGCCCCGGCACCCTCCGGCTGCCGGGACCGGGAATTCCACCCATCCCATCTCCCGGCGATTAAACCTCCTTCCTCTTTTTTTTAATTTTTTTTCCCCCCTGCAGCTGTAAGTGCTGCTTCACACGATATACATGTGCAATGCTGTGAACTGGGGAAAGAGGTCTTGCTGGATGCCACATCTCTGAAACTGTTCAAGGCTGGATTTGGAGTGACCTGGTCCAGTGGAAGGTGTTCCTGCCCGATCTCGAAGATCTCTTCCAATCTAAACTATGCTGCAAGAGTCTATGAAACTCTACACATCTTGTTAATGACTTGTGTGATCAGTTCCTTTAGATTGACAGGCAAAGGTTCCCCTGGCACATCGGTGCCAATTCTCTGTTGGAAAGAGGAAAAGAACCTGTGCTGTTCGACAGAAAAGAGCTTGGGAGCGCCAATGACACAGCATGAGCAGAGGCCAAGGGCCTTCTTTTCTACCTGGGCACACACTGGCTCATGCTGTGCATCACCAAAAACTGTGGTCACACAGGACACAAGGCAGAGGGAGAGGTCAGAGGATGCCCAAAACTGTGACACACAAATAACAAGGGGAGACAATGGTTTTCTGTTGAATATTTTATTTTTGCATTGCCTTCATAGCGCAATTAAAGCAATCTTTAAAATTCACTTATTACAAATGTTTGTCAAGTCTGTTTTTCCCCAGAAACACTTTTCTTGCTTCCTTGCACATACGCCCAAACACACTATAAAAACCTCATTCATAACATCAAAGGAAGGGCAATCATCATTCATGTAAACATCTTTCTTAGAGTTATCCGTTTTTTAAAAGTCATGAATAAACTTACAGATGTTCAGTAAGGCTCATAGTTCGAGTACAAATGTCGTAAAACACCTATCAAGTACTGTACACAAGTTAAACACTCCGGGGTTAACTGTTAACACGTGTATAAGCTTACCCCAAAGATTATTCTTTAGCACTTAGTTCTTCAGAACAGAGACACCCAGTAATTATGGGCTAGAGAGTATTAAAATAGCAGAAGGCCCAGCAGAAACTGTTAAATAATACACAATTTTAGTCTGGTTCTTAGCTCAGAGTTAAATCTGTCACAGCTGCAGTAGGAAAAGTTTCCTAGAAGGGGATCTACAGAAAGGAGGGATGGGTCCTTTGTACGATATGGTGAAGAGACAAGCTAGGAGGTACGTCTTGAAAATGGGACTAGCCTTGCTATTGCAATTATTTATGGCGGCTGCATGTAATGCTGCATAAACACCTCTCCAAAGAGCAGAAACAACCATTTGTAATTGTAAGGATTATTTGTTGCATCTCCCCTTAAAATAAAAAAAATATCTACTTACTGGTATTCAATTACACTTGCATCTTACAAAAAGACGTCCCTTTAAATCTGGTTTAGATCTTACTGGAACTTTTTTGTTTAAATAGTCATTCAACCATGAAAATATTTCATACAAACATCATTTTACATACAAATGTTAAAACCTGTGAAGCGGGTCTTCCCACACTCATAATTTTATGGCTTGAACATTTAATTGCTTATAATTTTTGTACAGATATTTCTCCTAGGGGAAAAAAAAGAGAATTACAGTAAAATGGTAAAAGAGAAAAAGGGCAGGAAGTTCCACTGCCCGAAGACAGAGGAGGGTCCATTCAAGAGAGAGTGAGTGACCTTAGTGTTCAAAACCTTTGATCTGGGGCAAGTAAACATGCACTTAATCTTGCACCTTTTTTTTCCTTTAAAAAAATATCCCTTATAAGACTGCTTAGAAATTCTTTGTCCAAAAATACAGTTCTCCTGTTTCCATTACATGAAGCAAAAGGAGCAAGTTCACAGCAGGTGAAGCCCATTTCCACTCGCACATGAACCTGCTCCCACGCCTGCTTTCCTCACTGGGATGCTCTTGGCACACAGCAGTGCAGTGGAAGTGAGGAGCAGGCAGCACCCCAGCATGTAAGGAGATACTTCAGTACCATTGTTTCCAAAGCAATTTGGTTTTTTTTAAGTGCTTGGAGGTGAAGTCCTCAGGCACCCACAGCTCCACCAGTTCTGCTGAGCCACAGGAGAACCAGGCAGCAGATACTCAGCTCTGTGAAATGTTACCTCATTGCAACGGCAGCGTTTTCCTAAAGCCCATCAAATGGAGTGAAAGGACACATAGCACAGAGCTCTCTGGGACAGAAGCTGCACCCCTGGCACAACCCAAGTGCTGAGCACTGCTTTGACTGGAGGGCAAGGGCAGACAGTTGGGTAAGGAAACAAAAACGTGACAATTTCTGTAATTTCTGAGTTTCTCTTACCAGATGGGATATGTTGGCTACTCTGCTCCTCCAGTGCCTGACAGAGGGTGAGAAATCCCCAACAGAGCTCTTGATTCTTGTAGCATGTTGCTTCTAGAAACATGCTATAAGACCCTCAGGAAAAAAAACACTGCCATCTGTGTGCAACATTTCCACATCCTGAAAGGCTGTGCCAAGGAGAAGCCTGCAGACTCACCCCATGACCTCCCAAAGCTCCCAAAACTCCCCAGGAGCTTCACCTGATTAAAAGCATGGGCCATGCTAGGAGATAGTAGGAGGAATTGTGGCAACCATGGAAAAAGCCAAAAAGCTCTCACAGCTGAAAAGCCATTTCCATGTATTTCCTTTGATTTTTCAGCAGTCAAGATTTACAGGTATTTATGCAGGGTAAGTTTTTTATTACTATTAAAAAAAAAAAAAAGGAAAACAAAGCCTTTTCAGGTTTGTTAAAAGAAAATCAGGATCCCCAAAAGTAAAACTCAACTTCAGACATCCCCTCCACGGCCTAAGCCCTTTTCCTGCTCCTTCTTATCCAGTGGAGTGACCCCAGCAGCAAGCAGCTCTCAGCTGCAACTTTTCTGGCTCTGTCTCCAAGGGTAACCACTTGCAGAAAACAAAGCTTCTGTATTCTTGGTGACAAAACCCTGTCCTGCCATCACAGGAAGATCCACTCCAGATTTTATTTTTTGTTAAAGAGACGATCAGCAGCCTCTAAATACAGGGTGATACAGGCTTCTCATAAGGAGCTCAAGTAACCCTCCCACAGCACAGAGAAGCCACGTGAAGCACTGCAGACCAATGGCAGATGCTGGGAGCTGATCTGTACCTGAAAAAAGCAGCAATTCCAGGTTTTACTATGCTATGCTTTAGTCATAAAGGGTATCCCAAGAGCCAGCTGCTCACTCAGGCTCAGCTGACAGGCATCAGCTCTCCTCTCACCTTCTCTTCTGACAGGAAAGGTCTTTGGCCAGACTCTAAGAAGTGGAGCTTCTTTACTTATTGCATAATTCACCAGTGGTCAGCTGCATCCTACAGACCCGAGAAGATTGCTGTACAAGGTGATGCTTCCTCTGCCCCAAATGAAAACCATGGCTGGGTGTGGGTCTTGTGTCTATGGATATGTCATCACACAACCAGTGAGGAGCTCTGTGAAGCTGGTCTTGCTCCCTAGTGAGCCCCAGAAAGTGACTGCAACGCACTGACCAAGTTAAGGCATTATTTGGAGTTCTGTAACTAACCTGTGTTTTAACCAGGGGATGCCACCTCACACCTCTGAAGGACACCATGAGCTCTTTCACCACCCAGTGGCAAAAGCCATCCCTGCCATCTCCTCTCTAACAGACCAGGAAGAGAGAGAAAACAAAGAAGAGTTAAAAGGCTTGGTCCTGAATCAAGCCAAAGCAGCTCCGTAGTCACAACTTTTCTAGAAGGTTGGTCGCTGAAGAAGGGAGCTATAGAAGGACCAACAGATTTTACAGAGCTGAGGAAGCAGAGGTAACAGAGACAACAGCCACAGATGTGGCATGCTACCTACCAGGCTACACACATGTACAAAAGAATCTGCTTGACTCTCACGAAGTTTTTTGAGAAGCCACAGGACACCTCAGTGCCTTTTTTTTCCCTAGAATTTCCCTATTTTAGGATATACAATCTTCAAGCCTGATGCACAAAGAGCACCTATATTCTATTTATCTCAATATCAGGCAATATGAAGACTGACAAATCTATTACAACATGAGCAACTCCGCACAGATTAGCAGAGGAATCAGAGACTGAAATGAAGGCAAAGGAGCTCTAGAGATCAGAACATTTTAAGCACAATTCCCCAGTGAGCACAGAGAGGCCAGCAGTCCAAAGCAGGTTATCAAGATTGTGGAAGGAGTTACCATCCTTTCCCAGCAGGGTTCAGCCACATCTTTCCTCTGCTCTTTCCTGCACCTAAACTCAACTGCCCCAGCTTTGCAAACTTCATTATCCTGGCACAATAATTCCCGAGATACACGTAAGAGCTCCCTACCAGGGGCTTTCCTGCAAGTGGATGTGACCCATGTAACACAGGCAGGTAGGGAAAGATGAAGTCATGCATTTTTTGAGAATCATTTACTGAAGTTGAGCAGCTGACTGACCTCTGCCAACTCTCCCTCACCTGTGAGGTTAGTTGTGTGTCTGCACACCCAGGTGAGTCCCTGAGCTGTCACCTCTGCCGTGGATGAGACGTGGAGCTGCAGCCTGAGTGTCCAGCACGAGGAGATAGGGGGTGTCACAGCTCATGTGCAGATCAGACAGTGTCACAATACCCTGAGCCTGCCTGTCCCCCGCCCCAGCACATGCACAGAGCAGCTTCTGTGCAAACTGAAATGATGAGGTGATGGGAAATGTTTGTGAGCAGCCACAGGGACTAAAGAGAGCCCCAGGTTCTTGTGAGTAATTCCTAACTTCGCTCGGGTACCAAAGCAAGGATTCTCAGACTGCACATAACAGCAGCCTCATCCTTCTACCTTGCAGGCACCCAACACATTCTCCCTGCCCAGCTCCCCAGATAGCCAGACACCTCCAAGAGTTCAAACAAGCAACCAAAATGTGTTGCAATAGAAAGGTAGTTCTGATTCCCAAATCATTTATGTTACATATATACAAACTTTTTAAAACTACAAACATTTAAAAGAAAGTGTTGCAAATGCATTTTGAGTTTCTCCTAAGCTGCTAAACCCAAAAGAGAACATTAGAGTCCCGGAAAGGCTCCAGTATCCAGACCAAGACAATACATTATTTCTCTCTTATACAGCATTAGGCAAGACTGGTACAGTATCTGAAAAACCACACATTTCCCCACCCCTGAAAAACCCCAGAACATAGCCCTGCAGATGAATATTCACAAGCCCCCACTGCTGGCTGCAACAAAGCTATGGATTGACTGCTGCTTATAAATATGAGCAACGAGAGATGTTTTTACATTCATTGTTTGTCTTTCAAAAACAATCTTTTAATATATTTTCTTTTTCTAAAAAAATCTTATTTTGATACCTCATATTATAATATTTCGCTGTGTCATAAACCAGAACTACTAAAAGATGGCTATAAGGCTATGTTGTTCTGTCAAGTGAACACACAGAAAAGATACAGCTCTCCTTCACCAAGGACTACAGTCTGCCCCCAGATACATGCACCTCCTTTCAGAGGACCCACGGGAGATCCAAGCATCTCTTGCCTTGAGAACTGACCACTTGAACAGGTGAAATACACAAACCAACTCATGAACACTGATGCAAGTAATGTGCTTGCCTTCCAGAACGTGTACTTCTGGAAGTCTTTCAACAGCAAATCTGTTTTCTCCTTTTCACAAAATCTTCATGCAAAGAACAGCTTCGTTTGCATGTCATAATAATAAATTAAACAAAATAAGCCAGCCGTACAGGCTAGATAAATATTAGGTTTAGACATGTTGCTATACTATTTAGAGAGCCACAGAGACCAACACACAGCACTCTCACATACACACACAAGCCTTTCCACTAGTTAGAAAGGATTTTCTCCTGCAAAAGATTTGTAGAAAGAACAACGTTCAGACAAGAGGAAAGGAGAGTTAAAACCCAGCCTCCTATATGCTAATAAATAAACTGCTCTATTGCAAGATTCAGATCAAAGGTTTAAAAAGGCAAAATTATGCTACTATTAGAGAATATCAAAATATTACTGTTATCATCACAAGTGGCATATATGCAAAATGCAGTTGCACAATAATGCCTAGGCAGATAGAGCAACACTAAGTCTGCCACTAGAAGTGAACGATACATCCATTTTAGTTTCTTTCTAGTCTTTTGGCATCTTTGCATATGGTGCAAAAGCAGAAGCTACCAAAGAATACCACATCTTGTATAGAATATTAAATAATTTCTTCAGATAAGACTGGTGCAATGCTAGCTAATTTTTAAATCTGCTATGATTAACACAGTCAAACCTAGTTAGTATCCAAGGAACTTATCTCTTAACACAGAATGCAAGGTTATGATGCAACAGCATGAACAATCCCTGGTTGTCCAGTTTTCAGTATAAAGGTAGTGCATAGATCCAAGTTTCTGTTTCAGTTTGCTGAATGGAGAAGGTGCTCCCATGTCACTTTTGCTGGGCAGCCTGGAAAGCTTTCAGTTCCAGCTGGTACCACTCTGGTGCTTCAGGCCCATTCTGCCCCACAGGGTTGTGGTCGTACCCATAAGCCACTGTCAATTCCTCATCCTTCTCCACAGCCCTGATGGTACGGATACACTTGATGGGCCCAAAACGAGGATGAACAAACCTAGGGAAAAAAACATCTTTGCTAGGCTCAGCTGCAAATTCACATTCTCTTCCAGCTCCTTTTACAATTCCAGAATTCACTCACTTCAGAGCAATGCTGCATAATCTGATATTGAATTAGCAGACTTGAGTCAACCTCACAAAGACTTAAGAACACGAGCAAAAATACTGATTTATCAAAGCACTAGTAGTTCAGCAAATACAGCACAGTTCTAGCCAAGCTAGGATTTAGAGAGCTGTGATTATGCATTTTACAATCAAGAAGCAACTCATAAAGTTCATGACAAAACGAACAAGTTGCAAACTTTAAAACACTTCCTGGTGTAAGTCCCAAGAGACATCAAGCATCCATCATGCTAGCCCATTTCCAACTCAGCCTGGGCGAGCAGAAACTCCTTCAGAGCCTCAACTCTTGACTCCCAGCCCACCTCTGATCCTCATCCAGCTGCCCAGGGAGCCCCTTGTGAGCCCAGACAGCCGGGCTGCAGCTTCTCCCCTAAAACCCAGGGCTGTACTTACGGCTCATAGGTGCAGTTAGGAGTGAAGGAATGGTTGGCCTTATGCCCCAGCGAGGCACAGTACTTGGCAGCGTGGTTGTAGGGCTCTGGCACGTCTATAACAGTTTCATCATCCAGGGATATTGTATTTCCATTGAGGGCCCAGTCTCTGCTGTCTACCTAGTTTGCAAGGCAAAAATCCAGTGTCTGTGTGGAGGGGTCAACTTTGTCAGCAGTTTGAAATCCAACATTCAAAATATATACAAATAAAGCTTTTAATGGGTGTACAGGTGTACATCACTAAAAAAAACAACCCACACTTTTTAGATCTATACATAGGTGAGCATGCACTTTCTTTCAATTAAACTCCATCATGTTAAATCAAGGGTGGGAAGGCAGTGGGTGTCAGGTCCTACAATGAAAAGAACATTTCAGGAGGAGCAATGAAAATTCAGACTGACTTTTTTCTTTTCTTTACCTCCTGGTGTGTAATTCGCACTCCATTGTAGAAGGACATCACGGTACTGGCTTCTGCTGCTATTTTTGAAAACAATCCTTCTCCAGCACTGGAAATGAGAGAGACATCCACATACACCCTTCAAGAGGAACAGGGCATAGAATTAGTGACTGGCTGCAGTTTTAATTTCCAAGAAGTACAACACTACTGGGACAAAGCCCAATACTTCAGTACAACAATAAAGCTAGTAACAACAAAAAAAACAAATCATTATTATTATTACTGTTATTAGTAGTAGTAATATTCAAAACCTCTTTATGGAACTCCTTCCCTTCCTCTCTTCCACATGTTCTCTCTGTTTTGTTAAAACAGAGATTTGGTGGGAAATTTGGGCTGACCTGGAAAATCTTTTTTTTTTTTTTAAAGTGCCAATCTACTATTGCTCCACAATGATGGCTTCAATTCAGGAATGCCCTCAATAACATATCAGAACCCAAGAAGTCCCTGAGGTTGTTGGTATGTACATGCACTGAGGAGCAAGAGCTCTCAAGGTGATGCACCACATCTTCAAGTACTCAATGCAAATTAAAGCAAGCATTTTGATAATCACTTATTTAAATATTTCAGAGTATCAGCACCGACACTTGAGGTACACACAGGACTTCCATTTTACAAACCTTTGCACATTTAAGTTTTAGATGAGAAAAAGTTTGCAAAATTAGGCCCTAAATAGATAACAGCAAAGAAATATGGAGAGAAGGAAAAAAAGTTTACCTTTCTGATTCATAAGGATCAGGAAGAAGGGCATTTGTAGAAATGCAGGATGAAGTAGATTTGTCAAAACTGTATACTGGGCCTAAAAAATCAGAAACCAATGAAGGAAATAAACTAATTGGCACTACTGAGAGTATGCAATCTTTACCTTAATCAAGACATTAAAAATTAAATTTTAATGGCTGCAAAAAACGTTACACTTCCAAAAAAAGGTATTAACAGAACTGCACCTGTAAAAAGCCTTTAGTGAGATAATGCTTCTTGATTATTTTTTCCCCTCAACATTCTAGAGTAACAGTACTAACACAAAAAGGTGACACATATGTTCTTCAAATTACCAACTTGTAGAGGACTGGATACTCCTTCAAAACTGCCCCTTCTAGTGTTTCTAAACATAATTTAAAAGTAAAACAAAATTTAAAAGGATATATTCAATAGCTCATTTTAAAAATCCCCAAAAGACGCCCAAAAACTTGATTACTTCAAATATTAAATATTTTCTAGTCCAAATCCTGAAGAGATTTCAGCCAGAAGATAACATTCAGTAATCAGAAAGCACCCTTGCTACAGTCCTTTATTTTTTGCCATTAATAAGCAACTCAGTGGTACAGCTCTAATTATATTCTTACATCCCTCTCCCAAATGCCAGAAGACTATCTTGGACATTGATTAAGAAGGTGGAAATAAGATAGGAAAAAAATCCACTGAACAGAATACTATAAAGTTTGACATAAGGCCTTTGCCTCTGGTGTACAGGATCTGTTTTGGCTGATGGCAGCTTCCTCCTGAGTGTAACTTCACCCTATTTACAAAGCATAACCGTACCCTCTTACAAAGTCATTTTTAAGTTAAATTTTGACTTGGTATCGTAACTAAGTGATTAAAAAAAATAAACTCACATGCATTTGCTTGTCAATACCTTTTCACTGAGCCTTATGTGCAAATTTCACATCAAGTGAGACAATTTTTGCTGGCAGAACAATAAATGCATTAGCACAGTCCCTGCTTGTTACTGCAGCTTAACCCACACTCCTCCAAAACATCACATACACCTCAGAACAACAAACCCACTCCAGAACTATAGGTTCAAGGGTTCAAGGCACCACTCTACCCCTATGCACTTCCCAGCCACTTTCTGTCAGCAGGACCAGACACACTGAAGGGTGCTGGTGAATCAGACCATTACACAACAACTGAATCTGGTTCACTAATTCCAGTCTCAGCCCAGCAAGGCAGGTGCCAGAACATTCTCACTGCAAACACTGACTTGCACAAACCCAGCTGACAGAGCTACAGCCAAACCAGGGCCTCCCTCTCCTCTTGCAGATATTTCACTGCAAGAAGCACTGTAGCTGTACCAGCATTAACAGGGTGAATGGAGCAGGATTTCCATCTGGCACAGAGGGCAGTAGGGTGTGTGATAGGCAGGACTGAACACAGGAGAGAGAGAAGGGCTATGAAATGCAGCTGGGCAGGACCATGCAGGAGGCACTTCCCATCTGCTCCCAGGACAAAGCCCACCTTCCTCTCTGCCCAACTCTGAGAAAGGGCCCCTCACTGACAGCCTGTGCCATCACAGCCAGGCTCCAGCGAGGAACATCACAGGAACCAAGCTGTCTGCAGCAAAGGGCTGGTAGCAGGAAGTTTGTGTTAGCTGAACTTACTGCCTGGTACTACTTCAAACTGAGGTTTCCCATCCTCAACAGCTGTCAGAGTTGCCAGTTTTGCTTCTATCATTTCTCCATCTATGAACCTTCCAGAATATGCAGTCTTTCCATCAGGATACACATAGGCTATTTTCTCTCCAGTCATCTCCCCATCTTCATTCACTTCTCCCACAAGGCTGCCTCCATCCTGAGAGAATAGGCAAGAAAAAAAAGGCAAAGCATTTAGTTATACTTGACTATCCTTGATGCCTAAGATCTTTAGCTTTTTATATTTTTCAAGCATTTGTAGCTTTGTAGATTGCAAATGTGTGGCTGTACCTTCTATTACTTTTCCTATCCTTTTCCCCTGCATTTAGGAACAATAAGCTAACCTTCTGAACACATTCCTAAAACACTCTTTAGTCGTACTCCAAGAAGAATACCAACTACGAGGATGCTCTGTTTTCCAACGAGAATCTGGACCTGACATAACAAAAATGGGGCAAAAGAAGCCTGTGGACTGCTTCTAGTGGGGCAGAACCCGAGGAATTACTACCTAATCAACTAACCTTTTAATTGAAACATACATGATAGTTATACTAATCACAAACCCTAGAAAATGGTGAATTTACCATACCATATGCTGTTTTTGCCATATTGAGGAGGGAAGGGAGTCATATTTTCCATTCCAAGGGAGGTTCCCTTGGCAGACACCTGTCTTTCAAACCTAGACACCACTTCAGGTATTTGTTTCAAAAAAGACAAGGAAGCATCCCCAAATAACACCCTGGAGCAAGACCAGCAGGTATGCTGTGGAAACAAACTGATTTATATCAAGACCACTGTGCACAGGCTCTATTTCAAAGAGACACCATTTTGTTCAACTCCAAGGATGAAAGAATTTCAGGTATGTTGTAATAGAGAAGAGTGAACCTTAAGTCTGGGAATTCTGCACACAGCATCCTGCACAGAGTTATGAGGAAACAACTGTTTCCGTGGCAAAGGAGTTTTTTGAAACACCTTTTATCCTTTAGTTTGGCAAGACAATAATGATAAACAACTTCTAATTACCCACACTTCCAAAAGTTACAGCAACACTTTGTCAGCTGGAAGATGAAGCAGGAGACACATGAAGGGTCAGCTGTGTGTATTTTATACTTTAGGACTGCAAAACTTTTGGCAGCATACACCAAGCATTTGCTGATCCTAATACATGCTTAATGGCAACAGTGAAAACCAGTAAATAAAACGAACAGCCAGTGGTGGTAAGCATTTAGAAATTAATCTGCAACTAAAGCTTGTGCCATATGTAGCACAGAATTACATTGGGATTTGACTAGCAGCTTAATTACATGAAAATGTTACCACCTTCTTGGTACAAGGTAAGATTGAAAGGTTCAACTCTGCTGTGTAAGGCTGAATAGGAATTATATTTTTTTTTTAAATTTGCATCAAAAACTCCCAAAAAACTGTACAACAGTCATTGCCTTAACTAGCATGGTTGTAAAAGAACATCAAAACTCAAAAAAGATAAAATATTGGCTTGCTTAATTAGCAAGTCACTTGTCCAGAACTCCACTCAGAGGCACAGCTCTCACACCAGTTACATCTGATGTGTTAAGCAAAGCCAGACTTCATAACATATTCTGCAGATAGAGACCAAGTTTCTCCTCCTACTTTAATAATAACAGCAGGTTGCAGTAAGTGGCATGACTTCCATGCTCCTCACCTGCAGCCAGCACTACAAAGTGGCAAAACCATTAGTCCATCCTTCCCAAAGAGATAATGCATTAATCATTAGACATCCTGTTTCTACATTACATACAAATTATATATAAATGCACTTCCAAGGGGCTGGGTTTCCTGGAAGATGAAAATGGTGGAGGGCATCTTGCAGCCTCACTGAATCTCATCTACTGGGCAAACATTCAACACCAAGATCTTTTAGCTTTGTGTTGGATTATCCAAAATCAGAATGCCCAGATCTTTCACCCAGATCTGTGTGTGCTGATTTTTGGAGAGCTGGGTCATGGTGAGTATTTGTTTCAGCTGGGCAGAAAAGGAAGGTACACGATTCTACAGTGAGGAGAGCAGGTGGTCAGGTTTACCGGGTAATAAATCCAGCAGACTCCATGGCGGATGTTGTCTTTGTACTGCCCTTTGAATATCAGCCTCCCATCACTGTCGTACTCCTGGGCTGGGCCGTTCAGCTCCCCATCCACGTAGGTGCCATGAAGGACCACTCCATCCTCGTAGGTGTAGATTCCCTGGCCTTGCAGGGCATCATCAACATAGTATCCCTCCAGGGTGCTGATGAAGAGAGAAAGAAAACAGCAGTAGCAAACTGTTCACCTCTCAGGAGTGAGCCCAAAGCCTCTGGAACGCCAAGGTGAAAATCAGGAACTTGCTTCTATGGAGGTCCAAAGGCAGGAAACAACTTAGAGCACCCTTTTATCAGGGTGTGCTGCACAGACACAGCATCACTCATCTCAGTCACAAGCTTGGCTTTTTCTGCAGGCTGGAATAGCAGGCTACTCTCACATCAGGATTTTCTACCTGCTACGTGTGGACCTTCACTGACATGTCTCTGGAGAGATGAAATGGAGCTGCTGTACACATGAACTATGACAGGGCATGAACTGCAACCTGCCACAGTTCAGCATCAGCTCCCCAGCAGTACACTTAGCAGCCATTTGTACAGGTCCTGCTAAAAGCAGCCATCTTTCATGTATTTCTCTTAAAATCAAACACAGCTTGTCAAGCAGAACTAGTGCTGCACTTGGATTTAAACAAAGGAACATTCCATTTCAGTTTTGTCTTGCAAACCCTTTACTATCACCATAAAAGGGTCTATTCAGATATTTCTTTCTCATGTTAGGATTAGCATAAGGGAACACAACCTGTTTAGCATTTGCTTCAGCACACTTAGCTAACAGCCAGCTGTCAGCATACACATATTTTCACTGCATAACTCTTTTTCAGATGCAGACGTCTAAGGTATAAGCTCAAACAGCGTCTGTGAGCACATGACTCTACTTGTTTTGCCACACAGATTTGCAAGAGTTCTGGAAGGAATGTTTTTTTCAGAATTCACTTTCTCGTTTCTAAAGCTTCATGTTCTGTTTTTACATAACCTTGGATGAGGTTTCCATGGGAAAATACATCACAGTAAAAAGCTTTAGTGTACACCAGATGCAAAACCAGAAGGGACAGGAAAACTATTTTGCTTTTCAGTCGAATGGATTTCTTGGTCCAGGTTGCTACAGAACGGCACAGATAGCTATGGCACTACAGCACAGGGAACAATGATGAAACCACCTGAAATCAGTGCCCTTACTTAACTATAAATGATGCCACTTTCCCCTCTAATTTATCACAGATCACTAGATTTGAATTCCATTGTAGTGACAACACACATAGCGTGCACATGTAGGATTACTCTTTAAAAGAAGCAGCCACCCCCAGTTTATGTAATGAAAAACAGCAAAAATCCTGTCTTGTTACCTTCAATTGCACTAGTTGAAGTTAAAACACTGCTAAATTACAACAGTGCTTCAGCCCTGGAAAGAACATATTTTCTTTTACTGTAACTCAAAACTTCTATGTTTTCTCTCTTTGTATTAAGCTCCAAAAAGTGACCAAAAGATCCATTTTCATCTAAGGAAATCAAAAGGATGATACACCTTAAGAAAGAAGTCTACGTCCTTCCAGCTCATCTAAAAAGCCAGGTTCAGAAACTTTTATGCTGTTCACAGTTTCTGAACTATTTCCACCCTGCTCCTCACTTCACTTTTTTTAGGGTCTCAAGGTATGGTGTCTGCAGCCAGACACAATAATTGGAACTAAGACTTGACCAGCACAAAGATGAATAAGTAGCTTCTGTGTCTTCCATAAGAAAAACCTCTTTAATACAAACTCTGACCTAGCCTGCATTTCTCTGCTTTACTTCTGAGATGCTCATACTTCTGACAGCATGAATTCTACCAAAGTCAAGATTTATCAGATGTACCGTCTTCCCATTACCCACTATGCCTAGAAGGGATTGAAGATACTCCTTATCTAAAAAATTAAACTAGTGACATGAACTGGGGGAAAAATTACTCCAAATCTTACTCCAGTATCCTTCCAGGGATTAAGTTAATATCGATAGAGACCAATCCATTTATCTCTTGCTCCCTCTGTATGGGAACATGGAAAACATTTTCCCTAAAAATAAAATAACAGATTTCTACTGTGTTCTGGGAGATGTCAGTTTACAGGAGTTTCCAATTAGGGAAGAAGGGCAGCTGCAGCTTTGTGCCAAGCACGGCTCTCATGCCTGCCTTTATAGTGTTCTGCAAAGTACACTCCAGAACCACTGGCACCAAGGAAAGTTCAAGTCCACAATCCAAAACAGGGAGTATGCCAGAGGTGAAACCTCTCTCTTAAAAAATATGCTGTAATTTGTTGCATTTTCTTAAAGGGGAAGGAGAAAAACAACTGATATTTCATTCCATGTTTCCATTCCCTTAAATAAAATAATCAACAGGAAGGGGGCAGCTATTCCAGTAACGGGAAAAGTTTCCTTGACCAAACAAGGCAGCGAGGCAGCCAGTCCTATTCCCTAACACTCAAAAAATGAGAATGCTTGCACTGCAGCCAGTCCTGCATCTGAGAGGACTCAGCTGCTCCCCAAAAACAGAGGTACAGCAGCACAGCTGCCAGCCTTTACTCAGCAGCCTGCCAGGGAAAAACACCCACGAGTGCTGAAAACAGCTAGCTTACTGCACAGGATTCTGCAAAGGGAGAGCTGTTTTGAGACATTTTTGATATTTATTGCTCATCTTCATGAGCACTCAGCCTTGCCCATGGCACACTTACTGGAAACAGCATGTCCTGTTTTATGCCAGGTCATTCTTACGACATGCCATGATTCCTGAACCCTCCATTTCAGAAATCAGCTTAGTCTTGCTAGCTGGGCATAGCTAGATAAATGACATCTTCAGCAATTAGCTACTGCTCAGTTAAGGCTGCTTTAGCTAAATTAAAATCTATAATAATTAATGAAAATATCCCATTTTCCAAAGCCATATTGCAGACTATTTTTACATATTTTCATTCTGCTAGTTCCTAAAGTCATCAGTGGCCAGCTATTCCAATTTTTTAAGAGATATGAAAATTGTGAGAGAGAAAAAAAAAAAGAAAACAGAAGAGTTGGCAACACTTAAGCAGTACAGAAAAGGCTCAGCAGCAACCTGACTCTTTCCACTAAATGCTGCCTGTACCCTGGATTACATGGAGGAGCAGCCCTACAAACAAAATAGCAGGTTAGTTCCTCTGACTGTACAATCAGCAACTACTCTGCTGAGATCATCCACCAGCACAGAAACATTATGTACACGTGTCCATAGAGACGCTGTCTAACAACTTAAACCAAAACTATTTTAGAGAACTCAGCTGCTGGGCAGTACTGATTTTCAGCTACTCAGAGAAGATTTTAAAAGGCCATTATCAACAACAGTAAGGATTTTTCTTCATCCGAGCGTGGAGGCCTGATCACTTTCTACACAACTGAATAAATATATTATCTTTCTCATGAAAAAAACCCTACAATACCCAGTATGAAGCAAATGCAACGGCAAGTACAGACAAGGAGCTGACTCACTGAGACAGCACAATACCTCTGCTCCTGCTCAGACTTTTGCTGAACAGGAAGAGAGTATACCAAACACAACTGTCAGTTTAACAGCCGCTATTCAGAGTGTCACCAACAGCTGCAAAACCATGAAGAATTGTGTCATTTTGTACATTTGCTCTCCCTCGGAGGAACTTCTGAGCAACTGCAGACAGGAATGCTGCAGTGGTGGCGGGGGGAAGACTTACAAGGTGTTCATAATGAGGATCAGAGAAGAAAACACATGCATAGGCAAAGACTAGCCCGATTTCACTGTCATAATTCCCAATGAAAAGAAGGGAAATTAAAGGGACCTTTATGAAAGTAAATCAGGCCACAAGCAACTTGAAGAGGATTAACTAGAGTTGTTAACAAAGCTGTATTTAACTCAGTCCTTTAACTGATAAACAACTTGACAAAGCAGAAGGCAAGCCTCTCTGTCAAGGTCCTATGCCTGTATGTGAGGGCTGGCACAGGGAGTTCCTGGTCCAGTTGTACTCTGAGCAGCTCTACAAGGCAAAGAAGTCCACCTGAAGTAATGAACTTTGATGTCCAAGTCACTGCCAGCATGCTTTTCAATAGTTTTGACCACCTCCTATTTCTTCTAAGTTTTAATCAGCTCATAACTTTACAGTGCTAAAAGAGCTCACACCACTGCATTCCCCCTCCAGGAAACAACTACAGGCACCTCATTACACACTAAGTCACCACAGGAATGGCTACAGTAGCAGCAAACTTTTCAACTAAGGTTTTTAATGAGAAATCTTATCCAGAAACTCAGCAGTATACAATCAATGTTGATTAGTTTTGCATTGCTTACAAGCAGAAGGAAGAATACAGAAGAAAAATCAAAGAGTCAGAGTGTACCTGCCATCAAAAAAGAAGAATTTCCCACGGCCATTCTTTTCTCCATGTACAAAATTTCCTTCAAATCTGTCTGTTGATGAATAGGTTACTGTACAGAATCCATGTGGCAGCCCATCATCATCTAGATGCCCTGAAATAAAATCCAAACAAAGAGCAACAGAACACATTAATTATTATACATTATTTTAAACCTGCTCTCATTATGTAGCTGCTTGAAATGCAGTAGCTCCCTAGTACAAAACAGTAATTCAGATCATTGCTGTTAGGAACAGTGATCAGACACTCTGTAGTACTGAAGTTTGTACTTGTGTAACACATAACTTAAAATAAAAGATAAGGATAAAAAGGATGAGAGACGAGAGAGAGAATAATAAGCAAAACTTGTTTCTGAAAAAACCAAGGTTTATATTATTCTAACTTGTATTAATATATGTCTTCAAAAGTATAGTAATTCTTTATCTAAAACATGTATTTATTGGTGAGAAGAGGATAAGAAATGGTTTGATTTTCTTCTTTTGATAAACACATGCCTTGGGATAATGTGGCTGTGCCACTGTACAGCTGTATTCACAGGAATTTAAAGAAATAAAAGTATGTAATATCGGTAATGCTGTGCCCTTGCAATATGTCAGTCATCATGGTATTTAATATTTTAAATGCTGCTCTCCAGTGCCTTTCTGATGTGTTCACTTTATATCCAGCCCTAGCCATATCAATTTTCCCTGTTACAGCTGTTGCACAGAAGGAAAGCAGAGACAACACACTTGGATCCTCACCTGCATGGTTTGTGTTTTACTGAATATAAACTCTACTAAGTTAAACATAAAGAGGCTCCTTCTGCATCTCTAAGTGCCTCTTCAAAGCCAAAGGAAAATGACAGAGAAGTGTTTTAATGATGATTATTGCCTGGTTTAGCTGTGTGAGCTCTGGCTGCAGAGCTCAGCAGGGCTGCTCTCAGCACAGGGACACACCTGAGTGGGTCCTACAGCTCCCACAGTGACATTTTACCATGTAAAAATTTTGCATGAAAACTGTCAAATAAATAGCAGCTAGCCTATATTTATCTTCTTCCATGCTTCTAACTAAAGCATTACCTCTGATTCCCCCAGTCTCCTGGTGATGCATGCACAGCCTATTAGAGATGAGAGACAGTGTATGCATCCACTTCTTCAGGCTTCGGGTCAAGCTCTTCCCTGACCAAATTTGCCCTAAACTGCAAAGGTTCATCACACATATGGAAAGGCAGAAACAAACTTCAGTGTGAGGGGGACTGATTTACAACCCAGGCTGATCAAGCAACAAGAGACACTTCAGTAATACCAGACCTTGAATCTGGCACCCAGAGAGAGAATCAGCTGTGCAGACTGAGTATGGAAATGCACCTAGAAAGGTGTACAGGAGAAAACAACAGCGAGGAATCTGAACTCATCCAAGAGCCAGGATTCCCTCCCTCACCTTTCCCCTGCATGCTCCACCAAGTTTCTCTCACACCTGCACATGACTGTGCTCTCACTTCAAGTCCCTAGTCCAAACTAGATTGAAAACAGGTAAAAGTTTAAGAAGCCAGTAAAACCAATCAGGCATTGCTTATCTGTTCAAAGTGAGAGAAATAATAGAGCGAAAAGAGCAAAGGGTGGAAGGAAAAAAGCTCTATCACTAAAGGCTTAATTACTCTGAAGAGGAACTTCTTTAAACAGAAGCTGCTCTTTCCAAAGAGAAGAAAGGCCTTTTTCCCTCCCTTTCTCTCAGGACACTCCTTTTTGTAGAAAGGACAAGTTTTAGTTAAATTTAACTGATTATTATTAATGGTTAAATATTAATAACCAATAAATTAATGACCAATTTAACTAAGAGGTGTGATGTGGACACCTCTTTTAGACCAAAAACTATGTCAACATTTCTCGTTTTAATTAAAAGCCTTTTAAATTAAGTTTTATCAATACAGAAGGGTACATTGGTGTAAGTTAACAAACCCTAAACAATACAATATCAGTTTCCCCACCACTACAGGGGCAAAACTTTTACAAAATACTTGGATTAAAAAATACAAGATAATACTAGGACATCATACCATTTTTAAAAAATACCCAAAGCAACAACAAAAACCCCTTGCAACTTTGTTCTCTGTGACTATTCAGCTTTGTCAAGATTTTGCTGGAATGTAAAGCCCAACACAAAAGCTGCCATGCTTGTACAGAGAACACACGTCAGGACTTTTGCACAGTAGGATTCAGACTACCTCGGAGATTTAAATGGTCAGCTTTGATCCAATGGCCTCTGTACAGGGTCTTAATCTCAGCCACAATACAAAGAATCCAATTATTCTAATGTGCTAGAAGTTTCCCCTTACTAAAAAAAAAAAAAAAACAAACCAAAACCATGCCCCCACCACTGCAACAAAATAAGAAACACGGTCTCTCTTAGCCAACAACATGGGAAAAAATGCAATTTCAAGTGTCATAACATAAATACAACTTTTTTTCGGTATGACTGATGCCTTTGGCTCTAATTCTGTTTCAGATTAAGTCAACTGCAAAAATCCTCATTATTTCATGGGGAGTAGTGTGTTCCACTTTCCTTTCTCACCACTCTCCTCCATTTGCAAAAAAATAAACCCAAAATGTGTAAATATATTTTTTTAATTATTGTAAAACCTCACTTTTGTTGCTTCATTAAGGATCTCCCAAGATTTCCTCTTAAGCTCAGACAATGAACTTTTCAAGAAAAGGAATTACCCTAATAGGGGCTAGCTCACAATGGAGTCACTTACCGAAACCACTGATGTACACAAATCAAAGATAAAAGCCCTTTACTGTCAGTATCACTATTACTTAACAGATGACATATAACGTGCATCATCAATAAAAGATTCTGGCCACAAAGATGCCAGATAGATGTTTGGGGGATAACAATAATAAACCAAACTCCCCCCTACAAAAATAAAAGTGCTGATTTCTTTATTTCTAGCTTCCTTTGGGTAAGTGCAAAATCCTGTTCACCCCCAAAGAGCATCCTGCTTCTGTCTCGTTCAGAAATACATGAGCATATATGAATGTATATCCATTTACACTGCTGAATAAAAGATGCCGTAAAGATTTGTCTCCTTATCCCATGAAGCTGCCAAACAAATCCAGGATACAGCAGAACAGCTTATCTGCGATATAAGGATGAGAACTATGACTCCCTGCCCCAGACAACTGCAACCCGCAGATTTGAGTGTCGGGAGGAGAGGCAGTGGGAAACCACATCTGTAAGGGCACATCTGTAAGGGCACAGGGCACAGTCCATCCATAGCAAAGCCTCAAGCCCATGTTCTACACAGCAAAGCTTTTCTCTGGCTCTCACACCGCACACCTAGACAGTAAATCCAGCTCGGAGCAGCAGCTGCTGAGCTCACATCTGCTGTCAGACTGAGCCGCCGTGCAAGGCACAACTCGCTCTGAGGCCTAATCCTTCTGCCACAGGAGACACACAGGCATTCTCCGCGTCTCAGGCAGCTCCCTGCTCCTTGTCCCAACAGCTGAGCATCCCGGATTGCTCTTCCCTCTGCCTGGAATCCCTGGGGAGCCGGTGCTTTCCCACAGAGATGCCATGCTTTGTTTCCCTGCTCCCAGACGCCTCACGGGACGGATGACAGCGGGCTGGGGAGCTGCGTTCCTGCCTGCTAAGGTTTCCCATCAGCAATTCACTTCCAGAGTGAATGTGCCTCTGGGTTTAGAACTCTTCAGGGGTTAGCTATGAACATGAAGTGCACACAGAGGGTGTAGATTAGCTGTAAGGTGGCCCACCCCGCTCCCACACGGACGGCTCCAGCCCTGCTGCCCATGGATATGGCAACCGTGTCTTCTTGCAGTCGCTCTTTCTTTTCCCTTCTCCATCTGCACGTATGTGACTGCAGCCCCGGCTCCCCGGGCTGTCCCCAAGGATGGGCATCGCCATGTCCCTCAGCCGCCGGGGCAAGGAGCGGACACCGGCCGCACCGCCCGAGGAGTGCGGGCTGCAGGCCACCGCCCGCACGGGGGCACAGCAGCGGCACAAAACCACGGCCCTGACTGATTTTTGACAATCAGAGCTGAGCAGCCGCCATCCCCGCGGCCGGGCTGCGGAGCTTCCCGCCGCGGCCGCACCGCTCGGACGGCACCCGGGGCGCCCGCCCGGTACCGGCGCCGGCGCGGCCCCGGCTGCCCCCGGCCCCGAACCCCGCCACGTGCGCGGCCCCGGCCCGCTCGTTGCATAAGCCCACTGATGTCATGCGCCTAGCCCGACCCCGGCCGCCCAGAACCGGCCGCCGCCACCGCTCCGCGCCCCCACGGACCCTGCAGCAGCGCCCGGCGCCGGCGGGCCCCGCTCCCCGAGCCGTGGCACACGCACCTTCCACGATCTCCTCCAGCGTCTCCTCGTCGCTGTCCATGGCGGCGGCGGCGGCGGCGACGGGCAGCGCGGGCAAGGCGCAGCCGCGGTACCGGGCGCGCGCGCGCGCCCCAGGCCCCGCCTCCGGCACGCCCCCGGGGGTGGGGCCTGGCCCCGCCCTCAGGGCGGGACCCAGCGCGCCCCCGGCGGCCGCGAATGGCCCCGCCCCTCAGGGTAATGGCGGGGGTGGTTCCGTGCTGGGTCGGGGGTGGTTCCGTGCTGGGTCGGGGGTGGTTCCGTGCTGGGTCGGGGGTGGTTCCGTGTGTCCCCGGATTCGGTACCGAGCGCAAGAACGCCAGCCCGCGCAGCGCTGGTCCTCCAGAGCGTTCCGTGCTGCCCATCTGTCGGCCCGCTGACCCCGCCTGGCGTTGCTACAGTTCACCTCACAAAGCGGAGGGTCCCCGGCAGCTCCAGGCACCCCTTCTCCATTCCCACACCAGGGACCGCTGACCTGCTGCTCTTAGCACAGAATCACAGAATATGCAGAGCTGGAAGGGATCCATTAGGATCATCGAGTCCAACTCCTGGCCCTGCACAGGACACCCCAAGAATCCCAGCCTGTGCCTGAGAGCGCTGTACAAGCACTCACTGAGCTCTGTCAGGCTTGGTGCTGTGACACTGCCCTGGGGAGCCTGTTCAACCTGCTCAACCACTCTCTGGGTGAAGAACCTATTCCTGACATCCAACCTAAACCTCCCCTGACACAGCTTCAGGCTGTTTCCTCGAGTCCTGTCACTGCCCAGGAGAGTGAAGGGATCAGTGCCTGTCCCTCCTGTCACTGCCCAGGAGAGTGAAGGGATCAGTGCCTGTCCCTCCACTTCCCCTCCTGATGAAGGGATAACCACCCTGAGGTCTCCCCTCAGTCTCCTCCAGGCTGAACAGACCGAGTGCCCTCAGCCACTCCTCACACGGTTTCCTCTCAAGGCTCTTCACCACCCTCGTGCCCTCCTTTGGACACTCTCTAATGCCTTCATGTCTTTTTTATATTGTGGCACCCCAAACTGCCCCAGCCCTGGAGGTGAGGCTGCCCCAGCTCAGAGCAGAGGGGACAATCCCTCCCTTGCCCAGCTGGCCATGCTGTCCCTGATGCCCCCCAGGACAGGGTTGCCCTCCTGGCTGCCAGGGCACTGCTGGCTCACATTCACCTTTCCATGGAGCAGGACCCCCAGGTCCCTTTGCACAGCGCTGCTCTCCAGCCTCTCATTCCCCAGTCTGTCCATACAGCCAGGGTTGCCCAATTCCAGATGCAGAATCTGGCTCTTCATTTGCTAAACTTTCTACAACTGATGATTTCTCATCTCTCTAATTTGCTGAGGTCTCTCTGCAGGGCTTCTCTGCCCTCAAGGGAGTTGACAACTCCTCCCAGTTTACTGTCACCAGCAAACTTACTTAGCATTCCTAGCCCCACTAGTGATGGTACACCAGCCTGATGTCACCCCATTCCCTATAATCCTTTATGCCCAACCTGTAAGCCAGTTGCTCACCCATGGCATAACACAGTTACCTAGGTGTGTGCTGGACATTTTGTGCAGAAGGATACTGTGACAGGCTGTATCAAAAGCTTTGCTGAAGTCCAAAAAGGTTAAGTCTACTGGCTTTCCTAGATCAGCTAGGTGGGTTGCCCTGTTGTGGAAGGAAATCATATTGGACAAGCAGGACTTCCCCCCCACCATGGTGCTAAAGGATTTGATTCACTAAACACACAGAATCACACTCTTGGATCTCAGTATTGCAGGAAGAGTGACAGCCCCGAGCAGAGGGCGCAATTTTGGAGCTCTTACCCAAAGGATGTCAGGATGGTGCTTTGTCATCACCTGCAGGGACCTTCCTCTCCAGCACAGCTTGACAATATGCAGGCATCACCTTAAAGGAAAGGCAGAGTGTTTCTAGGTCTTCCAGACAGCTGTCTTGGGAGCACAGGAGGTGTCTCCATCGTACTGGAGATGACCTAGACACTCAGGGCTCTGTGAGGAGAGACTGATGGAATGAGGCTTCTTCAGCCTAGAGAAGAAACAGCTTCAGGGGGACCCAGCAGCAGCCCACCAGCACTTACAGCAGTGCTACCATGAAAACAAGCTCTTTACAGTGCTCCACAAGGAGGACAAAAGACAATGGGCATGACTGAAAACATGACATAAGACATGACATACAGAGAAATTTGCTCCCTGTGAGAACAGCCAAGCAGTGCAGCAGATTGTCCCTGCAGTCTCCAGCCTTGGGGGCAATTAAAGACTGACCCACTAAAGCCCCAGGCAGCCTTACCTGACCTCAGAGCTGCCCCTGCTGTAAACAGCAGGCTGTAGTAGGGACCTCCAGTGGTCCCTCCCCACCTGAAGGTCTCAGTAAGTCTACGCTGAGTCAGCCACAATCTGCCAGACAGTGCTGCTGAAGGCAGGGACGCATCCCACCAGGAAAACAGGACAGCTACAACTTAACAAAACAAAATAATTAGATATGTCTGCAGAAACAGAGTCTAGAAATCTTTGAACTAGAATAATGAGGTTAGTATTTGACCTAATTGACATGAGAACTTATTAATCTTGAGAGCTTTGGGGAGGATTTGATTTTTACAAAAAGCTTGAGCAGAACAGGAAAGCTTGTATCATAGGTGGTTAATTTCACTAAACAATTCTCATCTCAACCCTCTGAAAAGTAAAGAGTAAATACTGAGCACAGTACGAACCCCTATGCAAAGAACCTGTTTTGTTTCAGTAACTGTGAGTCCCTGAAGAGACTAATTAATAATCAGCACGTACATAGTGTTGGAGTTATCACAGGTGATGTGCTTAAGCTATGAACATTACTAGTAGTCAGAAAGGAGATGAGGCCGTGGGGCTGGAGCTGAAGTAGGCATCCCTTTTACTGGAAGATAACAAGAGTTCAGGGAATACAATGGAAAGCAAGGAAAAGGGCATGCTGTGACTCACACACACAAAGTGCAGACCAGCAGGACCTTTAAACACGGTAGTGTGGTGAGCACTCATCAGGATATGAGGCAGCAGCATTCAGACTAAATGCACACCCTTTGGCCAAAATCAGACGGTAAAAATGCTGAAGTTCTCCAAATATAAGAAATCCCCCTCCAGGTGCAATGTTCCCAGCTCTGTGCACAAGTTCTTCTCCTGCCTTTATCTGCATGACCACATACTCTTCTTTCAGAGGGTCCATGCCTTGCTCTATGATTACAGTGTTGCCTTTCTGCCCTTATCATTCCACAACCAACCTCAGGCCTTGCTGATTTTATTTGCTACCCTCCACTGCATACAAGGGTGACAGTGGTGAGAGCTCCTGTGCTTCCCTCTCCATGGCAGCCAGCTTCCTCCCACATTAATGAACATATTTTTTCAGCAGTGATGGCACTAGGCATGTTATCCTGTCTGCAGCAGGAGAACTAACAGGCTTGGGCTGAAGCTATTAAAGTGTCCAGCAAGTGCCGGATTGTTGTCAAGAGTTTTTAGCATTACACAGCGTCTCACATGTTCAAAGTGTAATTTGCATTAATTTCAAATGCAGCTCTAAGAACAGCAGAGCAACCCTAAGTGAAGGTGATGGCAAACACACTGTTTAAGCATTTCATGCTGGATATTAAGAAATGGGAGAAAGTTTAACATCAAACTAGGAAAAGTCCACCCACCCATTTCCCAAAGCCAGGCTGCTGCAGTAGAGCTCAGCCATCTGCTGAGCTATTCCCCAGTGCCCCTTGCAGAGTGGAAAACAAGTGGCCATCAGCTGCCAGCAGTTTGGTTCAGCCAGTGTGCCCACCTTGGCAGGAATTCCTAGCAAACTCTTAGTAGGCTGCAGTGGTTAGGGGTCTCATCATTGAGATTGCAGATTGCAGATGCACCTCTAGGCTGGTGTTCAGCTTTATTAACTGTCTAAACAGGCAAGCAGATGTGTTGGGGCTCACAGTGTGTCTTCACATCATTAGGCATTGTTCAAACTTCCTCCAGCTACCAGTACTGGTTGCAGCTGCTAGGACTGGTTGCCTCTTTTATTTTCATCTAAGCAGGGGCTTGTTCTCCTCAAACATTAACTCCACATCCATCAGTCTACTGGTATTATTATTTATACAATCCCTTGCCTTGGCTATTATTTAATGACAACCTCTGGGAGCTAAAAAACACCCTAAATCTCCCTGCACTACTCTGTCTTTGGTAAGGATCCTTTGGCAGCAAGCTCATAATGAAAGAGAGTAGCAAAACACACAGAATAATGTGGTGAGATTGGACATGCAATTTTTGTTCCCTTACTTCCTTTGTATTTTGGTTTAGAAAGGCATTTTCTTTAAACATAAGTTCATAAGATTTCTAACAAAAAGTGTTACAGTGAATCCCAGCTGTGCTCCTAAGGTTACAGAATTAATACAGGGACTGATAGCACCAGGACATTGTCACCCATAGGAAGGAAATGATTGGGCAAGGTGTGACTGTTTTCCAAAGGGCTGTTGGAGCTTTTTGCTCAAAGCAACTAGAGGATCCAGACATTTGTTATCTCTGAGGTTTTGGAAGATTTTTGCTGGTTTTAAATCAACAAAACAATATCCATCATTATCTACCTTCCTGCCTCTTCCTTATAGTTATCCCCCTCTTTACTCTTCTGATCCTTTACCCTCCCTTCAACAATGAGGCTGGCCAGCCCTCTCCCAGGCTCCCACTGTGCCAGGCTCAGCTGCCCATTCTGCCAGAGCTCAGGTCCTGCCACCTCATAGCAAACAGCTTTTGGCATCTCTAAGTAGGACGTTGCTACAAAAACCTGAGTTACTCTTGAGATTCTTCTTTCCTTGAGGGTTTTTCCCCAACAAAGAGTGCCTGCATCTTGCTATATCCCAGTCATATTCCTCCCTGTGACAAAGCATCTAAGTTGTGTATTGGAAACACAGAGAAGCATTCACATTAAGTAATGCAGTAAATGGTGAGGAAAGTTTTCATTACAAAAAAAAGTTTGGACTTTTAGTCCATACATTCTCACAGCTTATCAGTGGAGAAAGTCTTGTTCAAAACATGAGGTTTTCTTGGTCTGTGCATTTCTCAACTGTCCTCCTCCATAACATTTGAAATTGCCTGCCATGCCTGAGATTGTAGAAGTTTATAATATTTCCCAGCCT